TTCATCGTGGGTGTGTCCTGAATCTGTTTAGTGAGATATATTCCATTGATTTGGTGTCGATTCCTCTGCGAGGATCAAAGGTTATTATCAGGATGGATTGGTTGGCCCCCAATAGGGCCATGATTGACTGTGAGTGCCAACTAGTGAGAGTTAGAACCTCAAGTGGGGGAGAACTGGTTACTCCTGGAGAGGGAGCTTCGCATGATCCGGTTCTCTGTTTAGCTGCGAGGGCCAGGAGATATCTTCAGTAGGGTTGATCGATATTTTTGTCTTATGTGGCAGATACTCGGGTGGAGGGCACGACGACGTTGAATGAGGTGCCCATTATTCAGGAGCCGATGTGTTTCCTGAGGAGTTACAAGGAGTGCTTCTTGAGAGGAAAGTCGAGTTCCAGATTGATCTGGTTCCTGGTGCGGCTCTAATAGCCAAGGCACCGTATCGTTTGGCATCACCAAAGATGCAAGAGTTGTCTACGCAGCTTCAGGAGCTGCTAGACAAGGGGTTTATTCGGCCGAGTAGCTCGCCATGGGGAACATCGGTCCTGCTTGTGAAGAAGAAGGACAGTTCACACAGGATGTGCATTGACTAGCGGGAGTTGAATAAGCTAACGCTGAAAAACCGTTATCCACTCCTAAGGATTGATGACTTATTTGACCAGCTTCAGGGTGCATCTTGGTTTTCCAAGATTGATTTGCGATCAGGTTATCATCAGATGAGGTTCAGGGATAATGATGTACAGAAGAAGGCCTTCATGATTCATTATGGTCATTACGAGTTTGTGATGATGTTATTCGGGCTCACCAATGCACCATCAACATTCATGGATCTCATGAACCTGGTTTGCATTCTGATGTTGGATCGGTCAGTGATAGTATTCATAGATGATATTTTGTTCTACTCCAAGACCAAGGAGCAACACGAGGAACACTTGCAAGAGGTGTTGGAGACCCTGAAGAGGGAGATGTTATATGCCAAATTCTCCAAAAGTGAGTTTTGGTTGCGCGAGGTGTAGTTCTTGGGGCAAATCATCAACCAGAGGGGTATATTGGTCGACCCGGCCAAGATTGAAGATTTATCCAGGATTTCTCCAAGATTGCAGTGCCTTTGACCCGCTTAACGAAGAAGAATGTTACTTTTCGTTGGGGGCCTAATCAGCAATTGGCTTTTGAGACTCTGAGATAGAGATTATACGATGGCCCTATTTTCGCGCTTCCCGAGGGTATGGATGATTTTGTGGTTTATTGTGACACCTCCATTTCAGGTTTGGGAGTTATTCTTATGCAGAGGGGTCATGTGATTGCTTACACTTTAAGGCAGTTGAAGCCTCACGAGGCGAATTACCATTCGCATGATTTGGAGTTGGGGACGGTGGTTTTTTCCCTCAAGATTTGGAGGCACTATCTGTATGGGGTTAGGTATACTATCTACACCGACCACAAGAGTTTGAGGTATCTCATGGATCAGCCGAATTTGAATATGCGGCAACGGAGATGGTTGGATGTGGTAAAGGATTATGATTACGAGATCTTGTACCACCTTGGGAAGGCCAATATGGTGGCCGATGCTTTGAGCCATAAAGTCGTGAGTTCTCCTATCATGGATATTTGCTTGAGGATGGTTGTTACTTTGCCCTTGTTAGGTTTTATCAAAAAGGCTCAGGTGGAGGGATTGAAAAAGGAGAATTGGAAGGCTGAGCGAATCACGAGGTAAATTCCTTTATTTTTCAGAGATAGTCAGGGATTGTTGACTCGGTGTGGTAGAGTTTGGATTCTGAATACTGGTGGGGTGAGACAGACAGTTCTGGAGGAGGCTCATAAGTGAAAATTCTCAATCCATCTGGGGGCCACACAGATGTATCGGTATATGAAGTTGAGTTATTGGTGGCCCTGTATGAAAATGGAGATAACATGGTTCGTAGAGCAGTGCTTGACTTGCAGGAAAGTTAAGGACGAACATCAGAGACCCCACGACAAGATGCGGTCATTACCCATTCCCATGTGGAAGTAGGAAGAGATTACCATGGATTTTATCACAAAGCTACCAAAGACAGCAAGTGGAGTTGATTATATATGGGTCATTATCGATAGATTGACCAAGAGTGCACATTTCATACTGATTGCCGAGAGTATATCTGCTGAGAAGCTAGCTGACATCTATATTCGAGAGGTGGGGTTCGGCTTGGAGTGCCAGTTTCGGTGATTTCGGACCGGGGTGTTCGTTTCACTCCCAGATTTTGGAGGAAGTTTCATGAGGAGTTGGGTACTCAGTTCCATTTTAGTACAACATACCACCCCATACTGATGGTCAGAGCGAATGTATTATTCAGACGCTCGAAGATATGCTCTGGGCATGTGTTTTAGATTTAGGAGGAAGTTGGGATACTTACCTTCCACTTGCCAAGTTCTCCTACAACAAAAATTATATGGGAGGAGGTGTAGGACCCTGGTTTGTTGGGGGGAGGTCGGGCATCAGTTCATGGGGAGTAATGAGGTGGTACTCAATACCACTGAGTTGATTCAGCAGGTGTGCGACAGGTTGCGAGTCGTGTGAAGCCGGCAGAAGAGTTATGCAGACCGGCGACGTTCGGACCTCGAGTTTCAGGTGGAGAACTTGGTGCTTCTGAAGGTGTCACCTTGGAAAGGTGTCATCCGATTTCGGATGCGAGCCAAGTTGGGACCCCGATTTATCGATCTCTTCAAGATTACCGCCCGAGTGGGCAAGGTCCTCGGCTGGATTTTTCTGTCTTTGGTCAAGGTCTAGTGGCAACATCGGAGGGGTTCCGAATGAACTTGGGAGCCCGAGGCGGTGATGCGAGAGCACTACCTTGATTTATTCGTGGGAGCAGACTTCGAGGACGAAGTCTAGTTCGAGTGGGGGAGAGTTGTAACATCTTGATTTCCAGGTATTCTATTTTGATCATTGGTTTGTGATTTGTTTGCAAAGTTAGTCCCTAATGGCATTTTTGTAATATTAGGCCATGCATGCGTACGTTGGGCGTACGTGGCCAGGTTGCAAACCCTAATTTTTAGGGTTTCGACCCTATTTAAATATCATTATAGCCCCATACTCTCTCTTAACTCCAGCCTCCATCCCTTTTTTCCCTCATTTCGAAACCCTAAAGTGTGTGAGTGTATTTTAAAGCTTGGAGAGTCATTTTGGTGCTCTTAGTGGTGAAGGAAGAACCTTGAAGTTGTGGTGCTTCACTCAAGATTTTGGATCCAACAACTACTTTTTCTTGTGCATCTTCTGGAGGTATAAAGCTCCAACCTTGATGAATATTTCATTAAGATCTAGTTCTAGCTTAAGTTGGCACCTTTTTGTCCCAAATCTTGATCTTTGTGAGTATGGAATACTCCAGGACTTTTGAGTTGTCCTTTCAGAGGTTTTAGGGTGTTATAACTCATAAAACTATGATATTGGGCATTAGTTTCTTTCCATGCATGATCTAGGTTGTCTTAATGGGTCAAGAAACTAGGGTTTTTGATGTTGAGTTCTTAATAGCCATGCAAGACCATAAAGTTGGAAACTTTATGGTTAAGAACACCTTTTGAGGGCTGGATCTGAATTTTAGACAAAAGAGCTTAAGGATTAAGCTCTTAATGGGAAGAATGGGTGGCAGCCGCGTACGTTGGCCGTACCAAAGGGTACGTTGTGCGTATGCGGTTAACCCCTCGACTTTGGTCAAGCACGTAGTATCCGCGTGCGTGTTGAGTACACCCAACGTACTCACCGAGTTGACCCGGTTGACTCGGTTGACATTGACCTGGATTTTGACCTAGGGGTATTTTGGGTATTTTTGAGTTGTATTCTGAGTTTTCGTCACTGTTATTTATAAAGGTGACCGGTAGAGTTGATTTCGGAGCAACAAATTGTTTCATCTTTTCATTTGTCTGTGAGGTGAGTCTTCTCACTATCCATGGGTCGAAAGCACCAATGGCGGCCCATTATTGTGTTATTTAGGATGATGGTCGTTATGTGGCTTATATGAGTTTGTATGATGGATTGAAATAAACCCCGGGGAGGGGCCCACTATCGCATGTTCGGGTTGAAATAAACCCCATGACGGGGCTCACTATTGTATGATTGGGTTGAAAGATACCATAGGGCAGGGCCCATATGTGTTGATAGGGTTGAAATACACCCCAAGGTGAGGCCCCAGTGTTGGGCCCATATATGTATATTGGGTTGGTCTATACCCCAAGGTTAAGCCCAGTTGTGTTATTGATATGTGGTACTTTGAGGAACTCGCCAAGTTTTGTGTTTACAGTTTATGTTTATGGTTTCAGGTACTTTTTGATTCAAAAAGGAAAAACCCGATGTGATGACATAACATCCTCCCCTCATGATTTCAGCATTGTGAATAATTGTACTCTGATATTTTGAATATTATATTTGGTGATGGTTTTTGAACCAATTAATGAATGAAATTGATAATCTTTCAATGAAAAATTTTATCACTGTTTTTAGGCTGTTACAAAATAAATATCACCACAAGGCGACTAAGAACTCAAAACAATCGGTCATCTTTTTTGTATGGATAACTAATCCGGGATTCGTCTTTTTTATGTGCAACAGTTTACAGGAAGGCTGGAAAAGCTTTCTTCATGCATAAGATCGGATGAAGTTATTTCTATATGCATTATTTTGCTTGAGAAAAGATTGTGAAAACCCTAACCAACAAATATGGGGAAAAAATTGATAGTAGCCCAAGTTGTCTGAACATACCTACCAAATCAACATAGCTATATACACCTTAAAATTATGCCTAAAACTTTGGTCATTGATCTATATTCCACATACCATTTGGTCATTTTGTAAATATCCCTTGAAATTTAAAGAACTAGAAAAAGTGATAACATGTCAACATAACCACATACACCTTAAAAATCATACTTTGACATGCTTCCCAACCCACACACATGATCATTAAAACAAAACCATGGAAGAATTTTTGCCAAAAAAAAAAACAAAAACAAAACAACTCATCAAAGTATCATAATCTCTTAACCTTTTTCTTAACTTTTCTTTATAAATTCAATTACACACCATACAAATTTTCACAAAACCCGACTTTTTTCAAGCCATGTAACATCACACTTTCAACCACCAGTTTTAACATTAAGTTTATCGACTATACATCCTTACAACACATCACCAAACCCGAAAAAAGAGGGGTGCCACAAAACCCCATCTTTTCTTCATTGTTGTATAAATTATCTCCCTTCCTCATATTAAAAAAAATGACACAGAAATGTCGACTAAATTTCAACATTTCCAATCAACCATTTTTCAAGAAAGGTGTAGCACGAAAGCTAAAGGACAACATGTTGAGCAGATTTTGAATACCTGTGAGTAACAAATTCAATCTTTTCAGATACCATATTTTGCAGAAACAATTGGGATAAGGTCATATAATAGCAATGTACTTTTCAACTCTTTCTTCTGTACATAACTATGTTATTTTCACACATACATTACCCTTTCATGACCTTATCCCAAATCAAGCTAAACTCCAAATTTTTGAAGTCATATAGTGAAAGGTAATATAAGAAAGGGAAAGGGATACATACCGATAGAAGCTTCTAGTAAATTTCAAGATACAGTTCTTCCATAACAGATGGATGCTATGTACAAATTCTTTGACCATTTCTCCTGTTGGTAAACAAATCCAAGACATAATATGGTAAGCCATAAGTGTTATATACATAAAGACTGTTTCTTTTATGAACCGAATAAATTGTCTGAACATGAGTAAATGACCATTTTGCCCTTGTAACACTCCAACAAAAAGAAACAGGAATTTATCCCATCCCATAAAGCCATATAAAGGTGTTTCTTTTTCACTTAATGCAGAAAAAATCAAGACTTTTTATGCATAAAGCACTTAGTGGGGCTTACCTTGACATGGGTACTAGGAAAAGCAGAAGTCCTGAGAGTTTCTTGAGTGACATCTTGTAATTTCCTCCTTGATGTACTAAGTATGAAAGCAGCTTGATCTTCAGTTGCAGCAGCTGATGTAATTCGGTATCCGTTTTCCCATCTTCTATGAATCCCTTCACTCGGATACAGAAAATCAAGTTCCACCACCTGCAAATAACCAATAATAGCAATGTAATTACATTTCTTTACTTATAATATAAAACACTTGCATTTCTTTACCAATAAAAGCAAAATACCTGATTGGAATAAGTTGCATCACGAGACATCACAATTCCCCATCTATTACCAGCAGTTGTCATTGAAGTGACCAAAAAGCCCTCCTTCCATTTCTTGTTGATCCACTTGAATGGAAACACATCGCTTACTTTGTATGATTGTTGTGTATAGGTTGTCCCTAGTGAGGGGTAAAAAAAATTATCACTTATACAAGGGTATTTATGGAAAATTCAAATTCTTGACTTCTATTAGAGCTTTGATCCCGAATACAACAAAAAAAAAATAACAAGGACAAAACGTTATCAGGTAAGCTATGTATGATAATATGAGTGTTTCTTTCTTACTTAATGCAGAAAAAACAACTTTTACAAATTTGCCCTCATTGAAGAGAAAAGGAAATGAAGACTTACCCTTTGACATTACAACCAAGGCACTGCCATTCGAGGCACCTGCAAGTGATGTTATGTAATAGTTTTTCTCCCATTGCTCCATTATCCACTCCTTAAATATACACAAAAAGGGAATTCAAATGCTTATCATTTCTTGAAAAGAGACAAATTGAAGGGCATAAGATGTAATTATTATTTATTACCTTGCGTAAAAACATGGGGGTAATCTCGTAAACTTGCGAAGTGAACCCTGTCCCAGCATCCATGACAACTGCCCATAGATTCAATGCAGATGCTACACAACTAACATACAAACCATCATTCTTCCCTTTTTCCACATGCTGATGAAGTCTTGAATCCAATACATTATAATAGTATCTGAAACAATTGAAATACAAAAAATCATTACAAATGGAAGAATTCTAAAGTAGGTTGCTCTTAAATTGCATAAAACAGATGAAAGTTAAGAAATGTTGCTATTTTGAGGGCACTATTATACCTTTGTTTCATTGGTGTTCTTGAGGTATAAACTGAAATCCATTGATTAGCTGGTGTCCCAAGTCTAATTTTCTTCTTAGGTTGAGAACCCTCTTCCAAATCACTGAGCAACCTTCCCCTCTTTTGTCCCACCTAAATCACACACACACACACACACAAACAAACAATATATCAAAACCCTCAATGATATTATCAAAGTTAATAAAATATAAAAGAGTCACCTTTAGGGCACCATCGATTCTTAAAGGGCGCAATGCTGCATTAGAAACTAGGCAGTTTTCAAACAAAGCAATAAGCTTTGAGTAATTAGGCTCTTCATCAAACTTCATATTGGTCACAGCTTCAAGAAATTGTTTAAAGGGTGAAGGACAATAATAACAAAGAATATCCGGAGACGTTGCCATCTTTTTTTTACAAACAAGGAACCCTTTGTTCTCTCCCTGAAATCCCAAAAAAAAATGTCAAAACATGATGCCAATATATCAATATTTGTCCCTTAAGTCTTTGTTGTGATTCACTGGACATGACATGACATAACAGGTTGTACTAACCTATGAATGGGACAAAAGTGTCAACTTTTTGTCAGTGAACTTCCATAATATGACATTTGTCTAAATCATGACATGGCATGACATAACAAGTTGTCAGGCTGATGTGCATGGGAAAAAAAAAGTAGCAAATTTTGTCACATCATATGACATGACTAAACAAGTTGTACAGATGCTAAGAGACTGAAACTGATGTCAATGAGACAAAAGTAGCAACTTTTTGTCCTATCCCGAAAAGGTGAACTTGGATAATTTGGTAAAAGTAGAAAAAAACTTACAACGAAACCTTGCCATGGAAGTTTTCCTTTAAGGAGGAAAACTAATGTATAAGCCAATGATTCAAGGTCATCTCTTCTACTTCCAGTTCTTCCTAAATGAGCATGTACACTCGCGTAACGTACTGTTCCTCTATAAAAAACAAAACAAAAATTATAAAAAAAGACCATGATTATCATAAAAGCAACAAGCATACACAAATAAATGAAAGCATATTGCTATTTCTTGCATTTAGATCTACTTACTAATAGTATTTTATTTAAAGATATACAAAAATTACCTGAACACATCAGGCTTTTGGTCATAATCAACATGATTACCCGAAGACGTATCCCTCCATTTTGAAGCTGAAAATAAAAAAGAAATGGATACCTTATTAAACTCATGTAGAATATGTATAAAATAATATGAACCTTAAAGTAAGTAATAGAAATATATACCTAAACCAAGATCAACCAAATACAACTTTTTCTCATTGGGTGTCCCCGGTTGACCAAGTAAAAAGTTTTCTGGTTTTACATCTCCATGAACAAAACTAAAACAGAACAATTAATTGTCATATGAAATTCATATTAAAAGTCTAAAATTCACATGTATAAATTTAAATTTTACCCTCTTAAGTGAAGCTGCTCTAATATTGATAAAGATTCCACCGCTATACAAGCAACCATTTCTTCTGAAAGACTACCAAAAAGAGGCGAAATATCGATTAAAAACTAAAACGATTTAAAGAAAATGTAACAAATGTGGATTTTTACATACGTTTGGTTGCTAGAGTTCCAAACATCCCACAAACTCGGGCCTAGCTTGTCCATAACCTAAATCAAAAGGGCAAAATAGGAATTACTGAGAGATGTTTAGACAACATGGAATAAAATAAAAAGAAAAGGTGAAGAACTCACAAGGATATAATATTCTCCTTGGCGACCTTTGTGATGAACCATTGGAATCCCATAACAACCATTTAGAGTACTTCATAAAGAATAATCATAGAAAATTAGTTTTCTTGTGGTAATTAAGGTTCAAGAAATGTAAAATGAAAATTTTAATTACCTATAAACTTGCCACTCATAAGGAGGACCATAACTACATCCCTTCCCATTACGATGCTCCAACTTCAAAGCAACCTACATAATAATAATAATATATTTGAATGAAATAAAATATAAAACAATTAAGAAAATGGAAAATTAAATGTGAATGAAGATGACATGTACCTCAAGAGCATCTGGGCCCGAGATTCCCATGCCACCTGTCACCCTCCTACCAACATAAACTTGACCAAAACCTCCTTTACCAAGTTTTCTTTCTAACTTGTATGCAGGAGAATTGCCAACTTGCACCTACAAAACAAGCAAAATCCAAAATTTTAAAAACAAGAAACAAAATTATACTTTATTAAACTATGTTATACATTCCATGTAGGCAATCCATGGCTCAAATCATCAATGCCATGCTCATCAAGAATCATTGTTCATCCACTAGATGAAAATCTTTAAAAAGTCATGAAAGATAATTTCTTTCCTATTATTATTTATGGGTTTTCATTCTTTTTCCCAGGCATTGTATTAATATTGTTCTTAAACAGAACCAATCCACAAAAGGCCAAAATAGAAAGTAAATCTTCTACCTTTTTGGAAAATAAAGTATTGTTTACTTTTTAGCATTAGAATCATGATAAACTTAGGCCCCGTTCTTTATTTCTCCATTAAGTGTTGTGTATATATATGTTGTTTAAAAAAATATTTGACAAAATGATGACATAACTAGGGAAAGGGAACGAAAAAATAAATGAGGACAATTTTGTAAAAGGTTAGGACTTAATGGGAGAAAGGGTCTTTCCTTATCTTTCTCTATTAAGTCGTTCTTTTTGCATCAAGTCAAAAGAACCACCCATTTAACTCACAAAATAATAAATGGCAAGAACTTTATGTAATAAGGAATCAAAATCATAGTCATAATGCGTTTATAAAGTCGGGCAAATTACCAAAAAAAAAACATTATTGTGGTTTAACTACTAATACTTCATGTTTTCCACTCAAACCAATGTTTCAGACATTTGTCCAAATTAACTGTTTAAACCTCATATATCAGGTTTAACTGGTAATTTTAGTTATTTTGTTGGTTAATTTGGAAAAAAAGTAAAGTATAAGTGGTTAAACAGCAAAACTCCCCAAAATATAACGGTTTTCTGCAATTTTTCAAATAAGAAATGACAGGAACTATGAAACAAAGAATTCAAATAGTAACTCCTAATGCATTTATAAAATCAAAAAGAAATTTAAATAAAAAAAACAATACCCTTTCAGGAACGGGGCTCGAGCTTCCTTCCTCCTCTCCATTAACAACCAATTTTTCTGCACTTTTTCCCACAACCAACTGATCACGAATTCCCACATCCAAATTCAAGTGGGGCCCACGACCACCAACACCACCAAATATCTCACCATTTTTATCTTGTTCAATTCCTCTACCCCCTCTACCTCTGCCACCTGGCCTCGGCATTGGAATCGGGTATGCCGGAGTTGCTTTTGGTGCCTGAGCTTTACCTCTGCGGGTCCCACGACGTGTTGTAGGGGCTACTACAACAACAACATCATCATCATCATCATTATTATTATTATTATTATCAAGATTTATCACTTTTTTAGCTTGGCGAACTCCACGTCTCAAATCTGGCATCTTTTTTCTTCTTCCATGCACAAATAAATACTCTTCAACCTTAAAAAAAATAAAAAGATTCAAACATATTTAGAATATAATCAAGAGAATCAAGAAACTTTTTAGGTGGTTGTATGATAAGCATCCAAAATAGGTAAAACCTCATATACTCATAATGATATGCTTTAAACAAACATTGTAGTTGGTTACCTTTTTGAGACATTGAAATGACTAAAGGGACTAAATGAGAACATACAAAATAGTTAGTTGCTAAATCATATGATATATGAGAAAAGATGAAAACTTTTGAGTTTTAAAGTCCATTAGGCATTGGAGAAAGAAGATCTCTTTCTTTGAATTAAATACCTTCAAAAAGATTTTAAGGAATCGTTATTGGGAAAGCTTTGATTTAAAATATGCAAGTACTTGTTAAACACCATTCACCTTTTTAATGTATTTTTCTTTCTTAATATTCTAGATCCACTATAACTTCCTTTACTTGTAGACCTTTTGTACTTAAACCACATTTAAAATACCTCAAGGGGCATAAAATTTGCTTCAAATTTTCATAGAACATTATGACTGTATAATTTCATTGCTAAAAACTGCATTCATACAAACAATAACACGTGAATTTTGATTCGTGTTTTTGGATGTACTAAAAACCAGTAAAAATAGTTGCCATTCTGACTTCTGAACAAAAAGGCAGAAACTTTGATGAATATAATCAGGAATCAAAGTCGGGTAAGTTAAAAACAATTATCACAGGCAACATTATGTAAAAATTAAATATGCAGCAATGATCAAATTAAGAAAACACACATATGAAGCACTTACGATTCATACAAAGTACAAACCAATAATCAAACACATGGTGTGCAGGAAGAGATTCATCCTGGAAACCCCACTTACCAGACATCAAAACAAAAAACAGTAACTGATATTCAATCTGCATAGATGTCTATTTTCATATAATCAGAAACCCCAACTGCATATATAAAGTTAAGATCATCGAAAAAAGCAATCTTGCTTCATATCATAATACCCCACACCACTACAGACCCAATAATCGGACCTTGCTATTGAACTAAACATCAATCGGTTTCATCATCACTTACAAAAACTACACGAAATGAAGATGAGATCAATCTACAAGGCAATCAACAACGATCGCCGGAAAAAACACAAAGTTTTGTTGCAAAAAGATGGATACCCATTTAAATACTCTAAACCAAACAATCGGAAGCATAGAACATCAATGCAGAAATGTCAGTATTCAAACACATATAAACAGTGCAATCAAGGACCAAAACAGGTCAAGATAAAGATTATACCTTTAATTAAATGGGTGTGTGGGCGGATTATTGATTGGTATAGCCGTATAGGTATGATAAGATTATGAAGAAATCCCTAAAGATGAAATTGAAGATAAACTATTGTATATTGATGAAATGGGGGTTGGTTTATTTATATATGGATGAGTAAATAGGAGAAAGAAACGACGGTCGGTGAGTCGATGCGGGTGTGCGGTCGATGTGTGAGAGATATGGCGCATGGAAAGACGGTGTGAGGCGTAGATTGTAACGTTCCATTATTACGGGCTTACAGCATATAGAGATATTGCCATTGACATACCAGATTTTGTGTTGTGTAAATGGGCTCTCAATTTAACATCTTCCTAAATATGTTTGTGGGCTGATTTCAAATCTCTTATCCAATGCATACTAGGCTTGCACAAAAAAACCGGTTCAGGATCCGAACCGGTCACTGAACCGGAAAACCGGTTCACTATGAACCGGTCTACCAAGAACCGAACCGATTCAAGAACCGAACCGCCGGTTTGCACCCGTTCGAGATTTTAGACATTGAAACCGGTTTAATAACCGTGAACCGGTTTAGAACCGGTAGTCAAACCGATCGAACCGGTTTAGAACCGATTGAACCGGTTTAGAACCGGTGTAACCGGTTTAGATAGGTTCGAGTTTTTCTAAGACGGAACCGGTTTGAACCGAACCGGTTTATGCCTGAACCGGTTTTACTATTCACGAATCGGAACCGAACCGGTTTACTGAACCGGTTCGGTTTGAAAAAAAAACCGGTTTGTTCACCCCTAATGCATACAATACAATATACATAATACATATTTGTAAGAAAGTCCCTACTCGACTTTGATATTCTTTTAAAAGAACCACCTAATATTCTTGGCCTAATTGTGAATGTATCATCAAACTTGGTTGCAAAAAAAGAGCAAAATGTATATTTCATTTGAATTGGAATTAAAATCTAATCCACGTTAGACATAACACCTTGTATTGCGAAAGTCTTTTTCCTGTTGATCATTCCATGAAATAAAATCTTAAATTTTTGTCTCCATCAACTAACTACCTACCGAACTTTGGTCATCTACATTAAATCCATTTTTCAAAACTTCTCATATCTCCAAGTTCTTTTAAGTACCCCATTTGAAATGTAGTCCATGTAATTTGTCTTTATACACATCTCTCCGTTCTAAAAAATATTCCATTTGAAAAGGTTCCACAAATAATATTTCTCTCCATTTACTAGAATACTTATGGAATGAATTGGTACTCCAAGAACCTAAATAAAATCTTCCAATTCTTTAAATTTTCATACATTATAGAAAGTTTTGATTCCACATTGGGTCCATTAATCCATGCATCTGGTACATATACGATGGTTCACGTGTTATCTAGTATATGGTGTCAGAGTCTATGTTGTTTTTTCAATTATTTGTGCTTATTTTCATATAGATACTTTGTTTGTAACGTTTGGTTTTGGTATGTTCTTATTCATCAAACCTGTTAACTTTGATTTAAGTTAAGGGTTGGCTTAAACCTAAGTGCGGTGTGTGCTTTTATTGACGCATCATGCCTGGTAGTGTGTCCAACATGGCTTGCCCTTTATTTGGCACAAATCATTTTAGTTGGCGGCCCAAACTAATTTTCGGGCTTTGAGCCTTATTTAAAGGCATTAACTCTTAGGGTTTGTCTGATTCATCGGCATCCACCTCCAGAAAGCAAACCATAGCCTCCCTTATGTGTGTTTTTTGAGTGTTTGGTGATTTTGGTGCTCTTTAAAGAAGAAGTTAGCCATTTGGTGTCAGGACGAGCATTCTTTAGTGAAGATCTAGCCTTATCATTTGTGTATGGACCTTTATAAGTCTTCAAGATCCAAACTTTATGCTTATATGCTTCTGGATCTAACAATTAGTGGTGTTTAGGGTCCCTTTTATGATGTTTCTTTGGAGTTGGGAAACTCCAGGTCAAAATCTTTGTATGGAGTTGGTTTTTGGACTCCATAAAGTGAAAGTAGTGCATGCCCAAGCTCTCCTTAAGCCATACATCAAGTAACTAGCAATATTGGCCACTTTTAGATCTAGAGGTTTTGGGTTTTTGTATGGGGATTCCTTATGGATAAAGTTGGAAACTTTATCCATTTAGATCATCATTAAAAAGGTTATGGAAAGTGTGAACCCTTTGCTTAAAGGATTAAGCATTTAACAAGAGAAGTGTATGCCCAGAAAGTGTGTCGTGCCATCCTTTGGGTGTGTTGTGTCTGAGGGTAAAAACGTGATTGTTTTGTGCTTTAGTAGACGCGACACGTCTGGTGAATGGTGTGGCGCATCTGGTCGTTGACCGTTGATCTTTTGACTAGTTTAACTTTGGGTTAAACTTTGGTGGATTTAGGGTTATGGACTAAAGATTGAACTTTAATTATTATTGGTCACTAAGGTACAACTAATGATAATTAAGTGGTTAATATTGTTGATTCGTTTAAGGACGCAAGTGTGTGATGGTTTATGTAATGCCCGTGTTTCTAGGCTAGGCATTAATATTAATATGATAGTCTAAGTTAACCTTTGTGACTCATTTTGAAGAAATGAAAAGGAATTATGTGAATATTATGTGTTTTATGTGTTTTATGCTTAATTATTAGGGTTTAATTAATTAAGAATAAAAATTAGCGTCAAAAATAAATATTAGATAAAGCCGATATCTATTAAGAAACTTGCAGTGGGCGTGACAAGGATTACAGATATATAAAGAATGCCGAAATCCGAGTTATAACGAAGAAGTTATGACCTGTCGAAGTTTCGCGACAAAACCGGCACGGTGCCGAATGTCGTAAAAAGTGAGTTTTTGATAAACTACTTTTTAGCCTTAGTGATCTAAACGAAACTCGTAGTGTTTGTTAAACCGAGAGTGGGTATAAAAAGAACACCCAAATCTGACTTCATATGAGGAAGTTATGATTTTTCGAAGTTTCAGCTTAGCAGTAGACAGCTAAAAACTCGAATTTTAGATCGAGTGATTTTTAGCCGACACGACCTAAACGAGAATCAAAGGTCTCGTAAATAGTAGCACAACGGTAAAAAGTCTGACGAAAACGGACGTCAGGTGAAGAAGTTATGAATTTTTAACGGATTTCCTGTCTCGGTCTGTTAAAAATAATAATATAAAAATTAAAGTCAAAATTAGCCGACGAAATCTAAACGAAAGTTGTAGAGCGTAATTTTACCTACGCGTGCATATAGAGAACGTAAAAAACGGAGCTCATATGCGAAAGTTATGGATTTTAGAAGTTTTTGCACAAAAATCGAGAAATTTCGCATAGGTGGCTTCGGCCACGTTACCCTCGCCCAAAATGTGCGACGTGTCCGAAATCTGCTGTGTCATCTGAGACGTGTCGCCTTCCCTCGCATGAACAGTAGCCGCATGTCGCTTCCGGATTCGACCGAAGTCTCGGCCCTCGCACATCCGACGCGTGTACAATGACTCCTCGCATCTGAAGCGCTTGTACCTCGCATGCGCGCCACCTGTCCGAGCCACGTGTCCGAGCCTCCTGCTGCCTCGTGTCCTCGGTGCTGACTCCCTTCTCTCGGCCGACCTTCGGATCTCCCCTATAAATAGGAGGCTTGCGAGACCTCCCGGGTAGAATCCGAAATTTGTCACTTTTCACCCATTTTTCATCTTTTTTATCATTTTGACTTCCCCCGAAGCCCCAGTATCATTTCTAAAGCCCGAAATACGTTCCGAAGTTCCCGAAGACCCGGAAAATTTATCTTTTCGGTTTTGAAGCCCGACCTTTTGCAGAGCCCGGTTTCTCAATAAAACTCCCGGTTTTATTAGAAACGATCGTTTTAGGAAACGAATTGGTGCCCGGTTTTCATTAAATCAGGTGAGTGTATAGTCACTTTCATCTTACACATAGATATGAAGTATTTTATATAAAATACGTGATATGTGTATATATGTTGTTTGTTTATTTGAGATGGATGTTGAATGAATGTTTTATACATGTTTAAAATGATTTAAAATGTATATATATTTTATTTTCAAATATGTTGGGTAAAACATGGGTACATAAAGTATGAGGGATAGAAGTACAGTATAGATATACGTTGGTAGCTATGAATTTAGTACAGTATAGATGTACGTTGGTAGCTACGGATTTAGTATGTTGGCAGCTATGGACTTAGTGTCTGTTGTATAAACCTTGGCGACGATGTGACTTCGTGCCTTAGTGCCTATTTGACATAAATTGCCGAGGGAAAGCAATGTTGTCACCCCGATGTTTGTTTTATTTGACATAAATTGCTAAGGAAAGCAGTGTTGTCACCACGTTGGTTGCTTTATTTGACATAAATTGCTGAGGAAAACAATGTTGTTACCTTATTGATTGTTTTATGTCAGGTTGTCTTATTTGACATAAATTGCTGAAGAAAGCAATGTTGTCACCTTATTGGTTGTTTTATTTGACATAAATTTATGAGGGAAAAACAATGTTGTCACCCCGGTGTTTGCCTTATTTGACAGAAATTGCGGAGGAAAGCAATGTTGTCACCCTATTGGTTGTTTTATTTGACATAAATTGCCGAAGAAAGCAATGTTGTCACCTTATTGGTTGTTTTATGTTAGGTTGTCTTGTTTGACATAAAAATCTGAGGAAAGCGGTGTTGTCGCCCCATTGGTTGTCTTATTTGACATAAATTGCTGAGGAACCTCCAAAGCAACGTTGTCACCCCTAATGAAAATCCTTAGGCTAGGTCCCTTGTGATAGTTGTTTTAGGGACGTAAGGTGAGGATAATGGGAATGGGTAATTAGGGTTGTTTTTTGGTTGATGAAATTAATAAATTATTTGTTGATTGATAAACTTAAAGAGTTTATTATTTATTGTGGGTTGAAAACCCTATATGCTCACCAGGCTTCCAAGCCTGACCCACTCAGCTTTTTATATTACAGGTAGTGGACCTCGAGCATAGTCGGATGATGATGATGAGTGATTTTTGGATTATAGGCCAGTAGTTATAAATAACTGTTGTAAGGCTTATAATGTCTTGTTTATGCTTTTGATCTGTATCGGAACATGACATCCCGAGGTTTTGATATAAAAAGGAAATTATATATTTCTTAAAGAAAGGTTTTGACAAACTTTTATCATGTTTTGTTTTGGGGACCAATTCCGCAACATCTTTTAAAAAGATTTCTCTGATTTTATTTTAAAAAGCATAAATTAAATCGGTCTTTTCTGGCCGAGAAATTAGGGGATGTCACAGTTTAGCTCTCTTATTCAAGTT